GTGGAGCTGATTACTCAGGCGCTGAAATATGTCTTTCTCTTGCCATTCACAAATAAACCAAAATTTGCTTTATTTTTCGCTGTTCAAAACACTTTGTTATTAGATTTGTATTTGACATGACTTACTGGGGCCCAAATGCATGCTATTATTTTGAAGACTCTGTCTATAATACTTTGTAAATAAGAAAGTAAGTACGGCTCAGCAATTTCAGTTCATCTTTCAATGCTTAATGCACCGAGCTGCCAACTTGGGAATGTGTCACATTTCTATTATAAAGCAACACAAACAGTGATAGGAAGCCACGAGACTTCTTTCCTCACTGATGTCTGTTTCTGCCCTACAACTGGCTCACTCATTCACCCTTCCCAGAACAAGCCCCTGTGAAAGGTTTTCAGTCCCTTTTAAACCCTTCATTTATGGGGACCTGGGCCATACATTGGTGAAAAGTTACAGAAAGGATTGAGATAAACTACTTTCATTTTTGTTCTGTGCTGTCCTGCATAGAGTGATCAAAAGGAACTTGTAAGAGTCAAGGTAAAATTGAAGGGAACTACTAATGCATCTTCTGCACTCGGCTCTGGGAATTCTGTGATCATTATTTACCATCTGCGGTGTTACGTAGCCAATCAACTTGGAGTAGGGTGAGCTGGGGACACAGAGCCAACTAAATGTGGGTGTAGGACTTTCATGCCTCAAAAGGTAAATCTTTGAGAAAGATTTTTAGTGTCCCTTAATGTGAATATAATGCACCCACAATAGACTGTCCATTTCAAGAGTCCAGTTTGATAAGTCAACATGAAAACATCACTACAATTCGTGCTCTTTGTGGTTCATCTCTCTGTCCCTCCATGGTCTCAGGCAAACAGTGACCTGCTTTTAGTTTCACAAATGCAATCAAAGTGTACACGTTTTTACACTTGGGATGTTACTTAGCATGATGATTTTGAGATCCATGCAAATCACTGAGTAGACCAGTAGTTGGTTCATTTTGATCACTGAGTTATAGTCCACATATGAATATGCCACATTTGTTCTAACTACTCCCCTGGTGATGGATTTGGTGTGTCTGATTTTTGAGTAAAGCTGAGATCAACACACTTGGTCGAGCAGTACATGCGTTTTACCAGGCCATAGATAAAACAATAATTAAAAAAAACAACAACAACTAGGAAGCAAGTCCTTTATCAGTTACATGTATTGTGAACATTCTATCCCATTCTGTGGCTTGTGGTCTTGTAAAGTTTAAACTTTTATTCTTGTATGACTTTTTACTGTCCTTTCTGAGAAATCATTACCTCCTCTGAGACTGTGAAGATTTTCTCTGATGTTTCCTTCTAGAAAGATTTATATTTTTACATTTATGCTTCAGTTTTTTTTAATTATACATGTGCGATAAGGGTTTAGGTTCATTTTTTCCCGTACTGATAACCATGTGCTCCATATTTCTTGTTAAAAACTTTATTTTTTCCATCGGGTCGCCTGAGCGCCTTTATCCAAAGTCTGGCCGCCACAAGGAGGGGTCTGGCCCTGGCTCTCCATTCTCTCACCCCTCCAGGGCTAGTGTTGTCTGGTCCTTTGTTTCTTTATCTTCCACATAGGAATGAAATCATGTGTTATTTGTCTTTTTCCTTCTGAATGTATTTCTCTTAACATAACCCCCTCCAGTTCCCTCCATGTTTCTGTAATGGGAGATTTCATCTTTCTCGGAGCAGAGCAGTAGGCCACTGCATCTATATGCCACATCTTCTTTATCTACTCATCTGTCACTGGGTATTGAGATTATTCCCCTGGTTTGGCTGCTGTATTAGAAATGGTGTTGCAGTGAACACAGGAGTGCAGAGATCCTTTTGAATTAGTGCTTTTATATTCTCCAAGTAGATACCTAGGGCTGGAATTGCCGAATCATACAATAAGGTTATTTTTGATATTTTGAGACGTCTCCCTACTGCCTTCCATGGAGGCTGGGCCCGTCTGCATTCCCGCCAACAGCGCGGGGGCGGGCTCGCTGTCCTCCACGCCCTTGGGCTGATCTCACAGAAGGGAGATGGGATTTCTTCACGGTTTTGATTGGCATTTGCTGATGGTAAGTGATGATGGGCACTTTTTCATGTGCTTGTTTGCCGCCTGTAAGTCTTTGGAGAAGTGTCTGTTTAGCTCTTCTGCCCATATTTTGATTGGATTGTTTGTTTCGTGTTGAGTTTCATGAATCTGGACTCTTCATTCTGTCTGAGGCCATCACACTTCCCTCCTGACCGCCCTGACTTCATTATTGTGTTTCTATCATAAGTTGTGAAATAGGGTAGTAAACAATTCTCCAATTTTGTCCTTCATTTAAGAATTTGCTTGTCTCCTGTAAGTCTGCAGTGCTTCTGTAGACACCGTGGAATAACAGTAATAATATCTCTGCACATAAATTTGGGAAGGCTTTGTATCTTCATGATATCGAGTCTTTCTTTTTTTTTAAGATTTATTTATTTATACATACAGGAACTGGGGTACAGGCCAGAGGTGTGGGGGGTGAGAGGATTCACCAGAGACAGAGTGGGGAACAGAATAGGCAGATTGACTGAAATCCACTGCTGAAGGGAGTAGCAGGCGAGACAGGAAAGGTCTGCTGCGCCATGTGGGTAGCTCCCTGGCTGGGGATGAAACTCGTGCTGCAGTGGCTGTGGATAGCTTCACAGCATCTTAACCCCTTGCGCCACCAGGGAGGCCCAAAATCGAGTCTTCTGATCACTGACCAGAGTGTTTCTTTCTGTTTATTTGGGTCTTTGATTTCTTAGTGGCTATTTGTAGTTTTCAGCATAAAGGCCTTGCATCTCTTTGGTTAAATTTATCCCCAAAGTTTCCCTTGTTTTTTGATGCTTCTGTATATAAAATTGGCCCCAAAGGTTTACTGCTGGCATATTAACATACAACGATTTTTGGAGATTAGCCTTGTATCCCGTCACCTTGATAAATTTAATTGTAAGTTCTAGGAATTTTTACATTAGTAATCATGTCATCTAGGGCCTCTTAACCTTAGTTCTCTGCTTTGCAGTTCCCTGTCCTGTATACCTCCACCTATATCTCTGTGTTTAATGTGTGACAAGTACATCTTTGTAATACAGGACACAATTTGATGCTCCACATTATATATGTTACACATATGCCATATAAAGTACACGGGTGTATGTGTGGGATCTGTGTTACGGATGTAACCCGATGCAGTAACATCACCTGAATACACTCACCTACATTCCTTGCTCCTTGACACTGCGTCGTTGCTAGCAGTGCGTGGAGAGCATGGAGGTTGCAGAGGGTACTCTTGACTGCCTGTTCGGTGTCCATTCCTCTTCTACCTGCCCTACTAGACTAGCCCCCCAATTCTGTCATAGTATGCACACGTCCCTGACATGTCACCATGGTGACACCTTTCTCAAGCTGTCCTGGACTAAAGGGACTTCGTGGCTGGAGAGAGCTGTGGCCTCAGGGTCCCACCTTGTTCCCTCTTCTCGCCACAGACAGACCTGTGGCTCTGATGGCTCTGGAGGCGCAGCCACAGGTGACCCAGCACGGAGGAAGCAAGCTGAGAGGGGCTCAGGGACGCCTTGCTGGCCTGGGCCTGTCCTCCCCCTGACCGTGTTGCAGGCGATGATAAATGCCCTTCTGCTTGGGGGTTTCTGTTATTTTTGCTGATAACAGAATCCCAAGTGGTATTTGGAACTTATCAGATCCAGGCCCTGCTCTCAGGTGATGTTCCAGTTGGGTGAAATTTGTATTCCAACGGTGGAAGCTATGATTCTGTGCACAGAACACTATGAAGAAGCCACAAAGTAGGGCTTCCCCCGTGGCACAGGGGTTAGAAGTCTCAGCCCTGTGAAGCTATGGGCAGCCCCTGCGGCCTAAGTTCGATCCCCGGCCAGGGAGCTGACCCAGTGGCGCAGCAGACCTCCCCTGTCTCCCCGCTGCTCCCCTCAGCAGTGCATTTCAGTGGATCTGCCTGTTCTGCTCCCCACTCTGTCTCTGGTGAGTCCTCTCACCCCCCGCACCTCTGGCCTGCACCCCAGCTTTTGTATGCATAATAAAAGTCAATCTTAAAAAAATATAGTGACAAAGTAGTTTAAGTCAAAACAAACGAACCGCAGGGATGTGCAAGCGCGAGGAGCGCGGAGCAGCCGGCCTCCCGCAGCCGCGGGCCGAAGGAAGCCGGAGACGGGGCGCCGGGGCCGGGGCCGGAGGGAAGGGCTGCCCGGACCTGAGCGGGGACGCAGAGAGAGCGAACCGGAAGCCAAAGGATGAACTCGAGGCCGGCAGGGAGGCGTGACCGCCAACCACCTCAGGATCTTATGGTCTGTGGCGAGCGGCCATGACTGGACTCAGGGGGGCCCGGAACCGGCCGGAACCTTGACGGGGCCTCAGGGGCGCCGCACCCGACGAGCAAGGCCGGCGCAGCGGGGGCGGAGGGGGACTTGCTGCGGGGGACTCATCGATGAGCGGACGAGACCAGGCCGGGGAAGGCCGTGTGATCCGCCAGTGACCCGGCGGCCCCACGACGCCTGCGGCCGCGGGGCGAGGGGAGGGGCGCCCCGCGGGGAGGGGCGCCTCACGGGCCCTCCAGCTAGCGACGAGCTCCCCAAGGTCTGGGCGGGCGCCGTTTCACGGTGCAACCTCCGTGTTGACGTGCGCATTGATTTAACTTGCAGCCCAGGGCTCTGTATCTTCTCCTCACACCCAGCGCGGGGCGAGTCGCAGGCCCGATCCCGCGCGGGAGCCCCTCGGGGCCAGGCTGGCGCCTCAGGCCACCCGGCCCGGCCCTCGCCCCTTCCGGGAGCGGACAGAGGCGTCGCCCTCGCACGTCCGGGAAGCACTGGCCTCGGCTGCGGAGCATGCGCCGTGCGCGCCCTGGTCCCGCCAAAACCCGCCCTTCCCCTGCGGGGTGACCGCAGAGCCCGCTGCATGCTGGGTAACGTGGGGCGCTTCCGCGTGGCCGTGGTGACGCGGGGCCTTCCCGTCTGACCCCTGCCCCCCCCATGTCCACATCATTTTCTCCTAGATTCGCTGTGTGGCCCGCGGAGAGCTCCGTGCTTTCTACGAGGCCTGGCGGACACCCAGGGGCGGGCGCCTCTTTCGCTTTGTCGGCCATTTTGATGACTTACCGGAAGGTGCTGGTGCTGGCCGGAAGGCTACACAATTATTTTCATTGACTTAAAAGGCTACTTATTAGAAATTCCATGAAATTATAGGTTTGGATGTTCTAGAGCTACGCTTTCCTGATATGAAAAAAAGGTAGCTATTAAACTATTCATCCCCATCTGGCTTAAAACCACCTTCGAACGCACCATAGCAGTACTTAGAGCGCACTTTGGAGAGATGGTCTAGGAGAAGGAGGGTGATGCCGAGAGCCAGCACCCAGGGCTTGATAAGTTTAATTGTTAAGTTCTAGGGATTTTTACATTAGTAATCATGTCATCTAGTGCCTCTTAACCTTAGTTCTCTGCTTTGCAGTTCCCTGTCCTGTATACCTCCACCTATACCTCTGTGTTTAATGTATGACAAGTACATCTTTGTAATACAGGACACAATTTGATGCTCCACATTATATATGTTACACCTCACCAGCGCCGGAGGAAGAGACTTGGAGTGAAGAGACTTCCTCTTACTGAGGCAACATGCGAAGGCAACAGGATGAAAGAGAAGAGACATGTCGTCTAACAAGCAGTGATCCTCCCAACTGCGGTGCAGCCACATCGATTTTAATTGACGCATGAGACACCAAGTGGTAAGAAATGCAAATCTAAACCAGGGTTCTTAAGATAGTAAACTGTGATCCATTCCTGGGTCAAGAAAGCAGTTTAATGGGTCAGGACTAGCTGAGTTTAAAATGAAATATAATAGCAACATCAGTCTGCATTGCAGCATGTTGAGGGTAATTACTGTTTCGGGAAACCTGTTTTAATTATGTCTACAGGTATGTGAGTAGGGGGCCAAGATTTTTCTCTTCTTGTTTGTGTTGTGATAATAAACAGAGATGGCACCCACCTCCTGACACCTCTCAGTTAACAAACTGACCTTGGTTCTGTGGTGTTAGTTACAGGAAATGTGGTCTGTCTCTGAATATGATCAAGTCACAGCAGAGAAAATAGTGTCTGTAAGGATGTTAGGTTCTTGGAGACTTCTCTGAAGAGATGAGAGGCTATATTAATAATCGGGATTTTGCCTCTTGGATGTCCTATCACCCATTGGGTGACATGTGTCACCCACTGGAAGATCCCCCTAAGTTAGAGACCCATATTTTGCAAATGACCAATGCATGATATTACAAAACCATGCAAGATAGATCAGTGGGTTTCATGGAATAGACTTTTAAACAGACCATAAAAAATTAATATGATTTCTGATCTCATACTGCAATTAGCCTTTAAGAAAGTACTTCTTGTCAAGAATGCAGTTTTCTAAAGAGACTATTAAAATATGCCTCCCTTTTTCAAATTCATGTTGGTGTGAGGCTGGAATTTCTTCATGTACTTCAGCCCAAACAACATATGGCGAAGGCATGAATGCAGCAGCTGGGCGAAGCCTACCGTCTCTAGACCCAGACGTTAAATGATCTGTCCTAATGGAAGGCGTTGCTAGTCTTCTCACCAACTTTTTGGAATAAAAATGTTTGATAATATATAATGACTTTATAATTGACATTTTAAGAAACAATACTGCAAAAATTTGCAATTTGAATTTCTAAGATGGTCAGTGTCACTGGGCTGAAACTACATAAATACAAGTCCTTTGGGTTCCTTAATGATTATGAGCATATCGGGGTCCCAACACTTGCAAGTTTGAGAACTGCTGAGCCCTATGAAAGCAGAAGCTGAAGCTCAGGCACATTTCACGTACTAATAAAAGTGAATGGAAACAACCTTTCCTCCTTCTCTCTGGATTCAAAGCCCTGAGGTTATGTTAGGTAGACATTTCTTTCTATTTTGTATTGAGAAACTCACCTTCATTATTAAAATAGAAAATCGTAACCAGAATAGCAGAGCCCAGCACAGCCACAGCCCACATTTATATCACCTTTCATAACCAAGAAGTGTCGCTTCCTTCATCCCAGCCGTATCACTCATCATTGTTTCAACATTGGAAAACAGAGGACATTAGGTTTTTTTCCCTAAATGATTTCCCACCTGTATGTTTTTCAGTCCAAGGCATTTTAAGCCACTTCAGTGTTGGCTAATGTGGCTTGAATCACCTTCAGTGTGAAAACAGGATAAAAATTGTCCTGAGTGCTGGTAATTAACAGAACACACACATTTCACTCACCCCCAGCCACCGCTACACCAGCCCTGCACAACCTCAGCCCCTGGGGCACCTGGTCGTGGCCGGGAAGAAGCCACAGGTGGAGCGACAGGAGTGGCTGGAAATTCTTTCCTAAATCTTATGTGTTACTTTTATACACTATGGAATGAATCAATTTAACTTTATCTTTTCAGATACTTACATTCTTATAAATATTATTGCAAATGTCATTACATGCCGCATATTACACACAAATACCTATAATATACACAAATATTTTCATATATTTGAATTACTGTGACATGAAATCTGTCAGATTTCTATTCCTAATAAAGAGAGTGAACCCTATTTAATTTGATAAGTGTCCTCATCTATACTTTTACCTGTTTAAAAACTGTTACTGTTAATATTGGTCAGCTATTTTCAACCCTGTTGTTTTTAAAGTAGGAAGATTTTCTTCGTGTCCCTCTGTCTGGGAGCTCGTGCCCTTCATTTACGGGCTATGACCTCCAGGCCGACCCCTTGTCCTCCCTGCCCTTCTTCTCGGGTCCCTGGGCATGTACAGGTGGGACCTCCTGGCTCAATGCTTCACTGTCTTCCTTCTCTCTCCTCTCTCTCTCTCTCTCCCTCTTTTCCTCCCTCCAGTCCCTGATTTTTTCCATCTTTGCCTCTCGGGCCTCCTTCCCGGGGCATGTGCTTGCCTCTGTCCTCTGTCTCCCAGCGCAGTGGCACGTGCGTGCACCCGTGTGCTGTGCGTTTTCCCTGCCTTAGCAGGCGGGATCTTGTGATGCCTTTTTTTTTTTTTAAAGCATCCTGCTCTGGCTTCCTGACCACAGCACCTTTTACTCCCTTTATTGTTTCCTCTGAATTCCTTTTTAGTTTGCTTTAGTCTCGTCTTTCATAGGAGAAAGTTTCCTCAGAAGCCTGCCTTCCTTTGGCCTCATATTTACGAGGGGCGCCCCAAGGAGCTGCGTTGGGAGGGCTGCGTGATGCCGGGGTGCACAGACCAGTGGGCTCCCCCAGGTGAAATAAGAGGGGCAAGTCCCAAGCATCAGCGTCCACAGGAGAAATCCTTCATTCTTCTGCTTGGGTGGGTGGGCACGGGACGGCCCAGGGCCAACATTTGGGAGTCAAGTAGGGGTGCACGGATGCGGGGGTCCACTGGTCTGTAATCAGGCTTTTACTTCATTGCTGTTTGCAGAACCCATGGTGCCTCGTGCAAGGATCCAGAAAGCAAATCTGTCTGGTGGTGAAGGAGAGGCGCTGGGCTTTCTGTTTATTAATCTCCAGACAGACGCCTGGTTTAGATGGAATGGTGTCTTCAAGCCCAAGCCCCAAGCCTTCATTTCAGTTGAAAGTAAATTTTTTAAGAAGTATAATCATTAAAAATAGAAGCATTCATCAAAAGAAGCCTTTAAATGCAGCACTGAGGTCTTTATGGGGGTGAAAGGAAGCCCATAAAGAAGCCGACAGGGCACTCCGTGTGCAGCGGGGCCCACAGACACTTCCAGAAGCTATGGGCTCTTTTATGTAAAGCCCTTGTCTGCACCCTTTTATGGCCGAGGCCCCACAAACGGTGACTTGGTTTCACATTCTGCTTTTTATAACCCTTCTAAAAAGAATGCGACTGGAAAATTCAGTTTTGATTACCATTGTTTTCCTGGAAGGGCCCTACATAGAGTTTAAAGGTTTTTTTTAAACAACCACAAGGATTTTTTTAAAAAAGGCTCGTTGCCCCCAGCAACTATCCCAGCTTCTCCTCCTCCCCTCAGGTTCCAGCTCCCCTGGCAGGTGCCCTGGGGCACCTGGGGCTCCCTGCCTTTGGGCCCAGGTGCTCCCACAGCCAGGGGGTTCGCCTGGGGCGACCTGAGGCCTCTGGGGCAGAGACTGCCTGCAGGCATGTAGCCCCTTAGGCCTGCGAAGCTAAGCAATGACCTGGAGCTGTGCAGGATGCCAGGTGTGTGTCCTGCGAGAAAGCCTGGGTCTCCTCATTCTCCCCTCCCCAGCTTTTATTGCCCTCAGTCTGGTACCTGGCAGGGTGCTGGTGAAGTGAGACAAAGCTCTTGGGGGAAAATCCTAGGAAAAAATCCTAATTGAGCTAAGTCCGCGCTTTCCCTTCGCTGCGTCCCACACACCAAACAGCTAATGGGAGGTTACTGCTGTGATTCATTTTTCCATTCTGGAAAGGAATAAACCATATTGACACTCCAGCCCAGTCCCAGTATAATTAAATATGGGCATTGAGCCCATATACCAGTATTTAGGGATTCCCCTGAGTCAATCTTTCATGAACCGCTGTAATAAAACATGAAAGGTGGATTCCAGTCCAGGCGGGAGGACAGACCTTAAGGCTGGAAGCTCCTTTCATTCTCCACGAGCCAAGCCTGGGCCGCCAGGACCCACGTGTCCTCTGGGCGCTGGCGTGCTCTCCACTCAGGCTCTCGACGGAGTCCAACAGCCAGTGTGTGAGTCCATTGGATCATTGTGGTCTTTTTTTTGTGATCCAAATAGCCATCTGACCTGTCAGGCGGCTTTGGCCATGACCCGGGCTGTGCCAGCTGCAGGTGTCACAGCGCAAACTCTGTCCCACCTGACCTTATACAAGCGAGACTCTTATGAGTGACATTCTAACAACTAAAGGATGTCAGTGGAGGACAGAGTTCTGGGGATATTTTACAGACTCATTTTATTTATTTATGCACACAAGAACTGGGGTGTAGGCCAGAGATGCAGGGGATGAGAGGATTCACCAGTGACAGAGTGGGGGGCAGAACAGGTGGATCCACTGAAATCCACTGCTGAGGGGAGCAGCGGGGAGACAGGAGAGGTCTGCTGCGCCCTGTGGGTTACTTCCCTGGCCAGGGATCCAACTCAGGCCACAGTGGCTGGCGGTAGCTTGATAGCGCTGAGACTTAACCCCTGCACCACCAGGGAGGCCCCAGGATCTTTCATTTTAGAGGAATGCTGCTAGTTTATTTTTATTGTTTCAAATTGATCTCAGTTTTATTGATTTTCCAGTTATTTGCATAACGATATAATCATTTGGGATGTAACGTCACCCATTCACAGGCCCCAGGCTTCCCTCACATTCTGCCAAAGCATCGGGGTGGAAGCCCTATCCTCGCCCCTTCCCCCATCCCTGCTTGAAACCAGTTTATTTTCCACAGAGTCTAAGGATTGTTTTTGCTGTGCTTTGCCAGTTTTCTTTCTTTGGTGATTTATATCCTGCGGATGAGCAGGGCCCTGCGGCATTAGCTTTCACTCCCTCACTTCTTTCACTCAGCACCATCACCCCCAGTTCCATTGGTTTTGTCACAAAGGCAAAATTTTAATCTTTTTTAGCAGCCGAGCTGCATTCCATTGCGTGTATATCCCACGATTTCCTTATCCAGTTATCTGTCGGCGGCAGTTGGGCTGGTCCACGCTTTGGGACTGTGAATAACGCTGCTGAGTCTGCACGGGTTCATAAACCTTTTCGTATTAGTGGTTCTGCTGCGGTAAATTCCTAGCAGAGCCCTGCTGGGCCATAGGTACTTCCGCTTGTTTTTTTTTTTTAAAGATTTATTTATTTATTTATATAAGAACCGGGGTACAGGCCAGACGCGCAGGAGGGGGAGAGGATTTACCAGAGACAGAGCGGGGAACAGAACAGGCAGACTGACGAAATACACTGCTGAGGGGAGCAGTGGGCGTGGCAGGAGAGGTCTGCTGTGCCATGTGGGACCCTCGCTGGCAGTCGGGGATCGAACCGGCACTGCAGAGACTGTGGGGCAGCTTTGCAGCCCAGCGCTCAACCACTGCACCACCGGGGAGCCCCCTCCCCCCGCTTGTATTTTTTGAGGAACTTCATGCTGTGCTTCCTCCACCACGAGGTTCCTGGCCTCACAGCCTCATCAGCACTTGCTCTGGCCTCCGACGGGCCCGTCACACAAGGATGAGGTGGTGTCTGGGGTGGTTCTGACACGTGGTTCTCTGATGATAAGTGATGTCGGGCGTTTTCCCACGGGTTGTTGGCATCTGTACATCTTCTTTGGAGAAATGTCTATTTTGGTTTCTTACCTATTTTTTAGTTGTTTTTTTTTTTTTTTTCTCTCCCATTGCTGTTGTTGAGTTGTATGAATCTATTACATGTTTTGGAAATTAGCACTTTGTTGGGCACGTGATGTGCGAATATCTTGTCCCAGTTGCCTGGCTGTCCTTTAGTTTCACGGGGGGCTTCATTGGCTGAACAGAAACTTTAGCTGGTGCAGTCCCGCTTGTTTGCTTTTGTCCATCTCCCTTGAACCCCCACCTACAATGCTGAGGCTGAGGTCCAGGAACGTGAGTCTGTGGCTTCCAGTTTCAGGTCTTCTATCCAAGTCCGTAATCCATTCTGAATTGATTTTGTGTGTGGAGTGAAGTAATGATATTGTTTCATTTTGTTGCATGCAGCTGTCCAAATTTCCCAGCACCATTTGTTGAAGACACTTGAGAAATGCTATTTTTTAAAGGCGATAATCAAGGACTTCTCCAGATGTATCTGATCTTAAAATTTCAATGCAAAGGGAGTCAATGGGATTGCTTCATCAGACCAAGCCAGGATAATTGAATA